CAGGTTGCAATTACAGCGCAACATTTTTAAGAAGTGAATTATTGCACCAAATGAGTGATTCGTGATTTCTGAGCATAGTTGTTAGCTATTACATGAAATCACATCACAATCAAAGCAATTGTATTGTAAAAAATTAATATTGGTGCATCTAGTTTTTCTATTCTTTTGTTTAAGTCAGCCAGCTTTTGTCAGTTACAGTGTTATTAGTGCTCTCCTTTCTCCGCTGTTCGTTTGATCTAGCGTCGCGATGCCGAAGAATAAGGGGAAGGGTGGCAAAAATCGTCGACGGGGAAAGAATGAAAATGAGGGTCAGAAACGGGCCTTAATATATCGTGAAGAGGGGCAGCGTAAGGACGATTTTCTGTACTATGGTTTTTATTGCATCGCTCCCATGATTTGCGTTTTCTTATTTTAGAATATGCCAAAGTTGAACGGCTTCTTGGCAACGGACGTCTTGAGGCCTATTGCTTCGATGGAGTAAAGAGGTTGTGCCATATTAGGGGTAAAATGCGCAAAAAGGTGTGGATTAACAGTGGCGACATTATTCTTGTCAGTCTCCGAGATTATCAAGATCAGAAAGCAGATGTCATTCTCAAGTATCTGAATGATGAAGCTCGGACACTTAAATCCATCGGTAAGGTCTAAGTTGCATTTAAGTAAGCTCTATGTGCTAGCTGCTTCTATACATTGTAATGTTGGTGAAATCGTGTGATGATGTTCACTCCAGCTTAATGCTGTTTGAGTCATACAGCTGTTGTGTATGCACACCTTCGTTTTCAGGGGAGATTCCCGATACAGTCCATCTAGACGAGAATGACGATATCGAATTCGATGCTAATGCTGCGATGCCGGATGATGATTCGGCCGGAAGGAACTCCAATTCAGGCATGCCTCCTTCGTCATCGGAGGAGGAATCTTCAGAAGATGAGGATGATGATGAAGAGGAGGAGGGTAACGAAGGTGCCCCTTTTGGTTCCCACGTCCACTACAAGGGCGAATTCGTCGGCAACACCAATCGGTGGGATAACAAGAAGTCCCGCAAAAAGAACTAGATGGTGAGCCATTATTTGGACATGCATAATTATATTATTATTGTTTTAAAATATGCTAGGTAGTTCTTTTTGTTTTTCAGACTCGTTGGCCCTTGGTTGATGTATAGTTTTCTTCCAACTCGCTTGACTATCTGTTATTCCCTTGTGACTGCGAATTCTGTACACATTGCGCTTGTTCTTGTCAATGACTATTGGTGATCATAACTCTTGGTGCGCATAATTGGGGCTTTTCATTCACATTCCTACCTTGAAATGGCTGTGCTTGTTGCTAACATTGGTTTAATGCGTAACTTAGATTATCTTGTATATCTCGAGGGACCGTAGTGGTCGAAATCTTCCAATGCATGGTCATTTATGAGGAGGCGGAGTTAATCCTGTCCTGATCACTATGGTTTGTCGTTATCTTTGCATCATTTTGCTATGGCTGTGCTGGATTGCCACTGCATCGATTTCTTATGCTTACACCACAGCAGGATGGGCTTTCCTACTGCATTACGTATGATTCAGTGGGCGAGTGCACTTCTTCTTGCCTCCTGATCCTGATGGAACTAGTTAAGGTGGCCTCAAGTATATATTATTAACACTGCCTTGGTAAGCGTAGGCGTCGACTTGAGTACCGATTGACAGGACGGCATGGTCGAGAGGTGTTAGTTTGCTGGTGGCTTGCCCTAGGAAGATGCTAATCTTGGAATGAATTTGCTTCGATAACTTGGTGTTTGATCGCCTGTCGGTTTCTATATTTTAGCAAAATTGCGCCTACTCATCCGTTGACCAAAGCGCGAGAGTTCAAAGGTGGTGACATTTGCACCAAATGAAACAGTCGTTTATGCTCGTTTCGCTTGGACCATTAAAACGGTAATTTAGGGAACTTCCATAGTCGTACTTTCAGCACGGTCTCAGTTCTAAGAGCTGGATCTGCGAATAGCCACTTGAGAGACTCCTCCATTAAACCTCGGTAAGTAGCCGGCATACTTATCCTCTCTGTCGGAACATCGTGTCACCTTCCGGCCTCAGATCTACGTTCATGGTTAAGTACGTGTACGAGTCTCGCCACAACGGGTAATTGTTCGCAGGTATAGTCCGAGGAGTCAAAATGGGATCGGTTATTTGCTATTTATGCTAAGAACAATGTTCGTGTCAAATTGATTTATTCAGAAGCTTCTGTTACCATTCTTGCATGTCCTTAAAACGCCTTGCATCTACAATAATTTGTGCACCTGAATTGATGCGACACTTCAAATGCTGGCTATGTTTCGGATTCACCACAAAGTGTGACCCGGATTCGCTACAAATTAAGGACAACAAAGCCTCTGGCTATCAATAGTAAAGTCAGTAAAGCCCGTCCCCATAAGTGAAGTAGTTTAAATTGCTGACTTTAAAAGAACGCAAGATTTATCGAAGCGGAAATCAGAACTGCGGAAAACGGTCCCGACCATCCAAATCCACAACTCAGGCTCCTATCATCATCCCTGATTCCCTCACTACTTTGTCACTGCCAATGAGCCTAGTATCATCTTTACCAGAGGTAACTTTTTTATAATCACTCGCAAATATCGCCTAAATTTCTGGTTATTAACATAAAGACAAGGAAACTAAGCATTGATGAGGCTCACGCGTCCGACCTGTACAAGACTTACAATAAACTGTTACCCAATCGACACACTCAAAGGGATCTACTCTGACACATCCAGTCTCGGCAACCGTCGTCTATCAAAGACCGAGAACCCTTGATGCTTTTATATGGCACTAGTGCTGTCGTAATGCACATGCCCACTTCAGCAGCTTTGTAGAAACCAGATCAACCGTCAATATTTAGCGAGAGAGCTGTGACAGGAGGTCCAAGGCATCACACATGCATGCTTTTCTATCAAAAAGCGCTTCCAAGGGTAACCAAGGGGAAAATAAGAGAGAAGAATAGAGTGCAAGAGAATGTCATTCGCGATTTCTTATGGTTTTTTTGCATCGCATCTTAAGTTGAGTTGCGAACAGAATTATTAAAAAGGCCTTGGGACAGTGCACCAGTAGTAAGACATGTACAAACGAATGCGGAGAAATCAGCCCACTACTTTCGCAATATTCGCGAACGCTTCTTTTGCCTCCGTCTCAGTCGTTCTCGTGTCCTTTTGGCGCCCTCAAGGGCCAAGTTGCGCAGTCGATCTTGTTCGGCCAGTGGTGGCAGCCGACCACCCAAGCGTAGGCGACGTACGATGACGGGGGTGAGCCAGAGGGTGAGAGCGTAACGCAATGGTGCTGCCACCTTGTAGAGCACGTAGGCTGATGCGAACACGCCAACCGAACCACCGGCTACACGAAATGGCTTCAGCATCAGCTCCGGCGCATGCAGACTCACCAGCAACTCTTCCACATTCAGGCCGCTAAAAATTTCCAAGATAACTATGTGAGGCTGATCAGTGGAGTCGAAAGTTAATCGGAAGCTGAAAATGGACTCCAAAGCAGAAGTTAAAGGTTGAATGGAAATGGATGTGGAGTCGTGACTTTGGTCCATGAAGATGATCAATGTAAATCACTACAATAAGAGATTTTTTGCTTCCAAACACTTGCTAGGAAATCACTCGACCCTGGGCGAAACGCGATAGGGCGCTTCAGAGTGTTATTTACATGCGGTTTGACACACAAAAGACGCAGTATTTGGTTAAATTGACCGGTTTCTCATGCTGATGGAAAATTGCCGTGAGGAGTTGGCATGCTGAGCTACCTCATCATTGTTTAAAAAGAGGAACGACGAAAAGGGTGCACTCGTAAGGAGTTATGAGGTCATTCTAGCCGGCACGAGCCACCAATTAACCCCGATCCGGCTCATATGAAGGCATGTAGTGCAGCGTCAAGGAATGATAGCAATGCTATTTCTACCATTGAGAAAAATACGACGGTTACAGTATTACTTTTGCAGCAGAGAACCCAACAGGATCCTTAGAAGAGCATCAAGCAACTAACCCGTCAATCAAATTGCGTGAATCGTATTATAAGACAGTGGTGAGTGCGTAAAAAAATTACTCAACCTGGCACCAAAGGAGCATGCTAAAAAGGCGAATTTAATCTAAGTTAAATCCAAGAAGCGGATGAAAGGATAGAAAATATGTAGAAGTAAAATAAGTCCACTAAATAATATTTTTGAAAAGTGAAGGCATTAGGTTGTAAGGGAATGACACGCCAGTTTCATAGCCAACTTGGAAGCAAAACGAATCACCTACGCAAGATTAAGAGATGCTCACCGTAATATCGGAGAATAGTGAAGCTGAGAAAATAGAACAATCGATTTTACAAAAAAGAACGTTTGAAATATCAAGTACAAATTATGCATTTCCCACGTGTTGACGACGTTACAAACACAGGAAAATGGAATTTATTAGTCAGGAGAAATATGCCTAGCATCACACTCAGGAAGCAGACTAGTTATTACTTCTACCGGAGTTTGCGAGAAGGGTTATGCGGTAGCTAGGGTGGCGGTTTGGTGGTCCGTCTTTTGTTTGTTGCAAAGCTCAGTCGACTGCGCACACGGTCACTGGATTGCCGGAGACGAGTGCGCGAGAGACGGACACCCTGACGAGCCAGGTTGCGTAATCTATCCTCCTCAGTCAGAGGCGGAGCAAGACCGCGAGCGCGGAGGATGTGAACCACATAGCGCGAAGCAGCAACCGTGGCAAGGTAGCGAAAGGGTGTGACGAGTTTGTAGAGGAGTAGGGCGGTAGCCCAGAATCCCAGACCTCGCGCTACCATAGGCTCTACCAGCCATTCTAGTGATTTCACTCCCTTCAAGGCTGAGACCACATCCAGCCCGCTAAAGGCAGATCAGATGGACAGATGGATGGAGGGATGGATAAATCAGAAACGTCAGGTACGCTTGATCATGTGAACTAGTAAAAATTTCATGGACGGGAAAGTAAGACCTGAAGTCCGACTTAAAGCCGTAAATGAAATTCCAACCTCAATTAGTAGATAAGCTTTAAAAAGAAGGCGTACTAAGAAGTACAATGGAATACGACCAATTCCATAACAATGCAGCGAGAAATCACCTAAAATATGCCAAAATACAGCGATCCAGTTGCCAAAGTGCTGAGCGCCTTTAAAAAACCGCAGTATGTTAAAAAGTAGCAAACTTTCTGCATGAGTGCAGGAAAAAAGAGTGTCAGTTGTCCTAGAATGGTGGCAGTAGGTATTCGAAATTGTAACGAGATGTTTTGCTTACCTATATGCAACTAGATAGAAGAGTCCAAGCCATGCTGCAGAGGTGACACCGTGCACAACTATCAGAACTTTCCCATATACTTTATAGGCATTTTTAAATCGCTGTACAAGGGAGACACTCTTCCCGGGATCCGTTTCAGACTTCTTTTCTGAGGATATCGATTGAGTGCTCAAAAAACCGGAACTTTGTGACAGAGCAGGGAGTGCACCATAAGTGCAGGGAAGTGGCCAAGGAATTTTGGAGAAACATGAATAGTAACAATGAGGAGACTGAGGCGAACGAATTGGTAGAAGGATCAGTGATCTCGTAGAAGAAAATTTAGTAAGTGAATGTCTGAAGATCTTGTATTCGATCGACGTGGCGATCCTATGGCAAAAGAAGAAAAACATAAGAATGGCAGTTCGCAAAGTATTCAATGGTGCCTCCTCTGTAATTAACTAGATAAAACCACGAATTTGTAAACAAAAAAGCCATCCAAATATAGACTAAAATATCCTCTATTTTTCGTATCATTAATTTAAAAGTTTTATTGTGTGAAAAAGCGATACAAAGATGATTACTTGCACAAAGCTCTATAACTAATCTAGACTAATTTCCATATTCCCTAACTGATAATGAACATTTTCCAATTTTCTTGACTACGGTATACAGTACGTATTGTTACGTTCCTTGACTTCTCATCAAGTTTAAGAAGTTTTTCAATCGGGCTTAAAAGGTACTTAAAAGAACAATGGAATTAATTGAAAATAAACCAAACACAAAGGCAAGATGATTACCAAATTAACCACCAGTTATACAGGTGGTCATATGTGTAGCGTACCGAGGCTTCCCATAGGGTGCAAGAAGACATAAGTGAGGTTGAATACATGTACTCCCAAGACAACAGGGCAAATGGACCTGAGCGTGACCCGAAGGCCAACCCACGTGTGCAAAGACTAATCAAATTCTAAAGTGACCGCCAACTGTCAGGCATTCACGTAAACAATGCACTACACTGCTTCTCTCTCTTCTTTTGAGCTGTGCCCTCATCGCTCTCCTTTCGTACACCTCCCGCACCAACCATCACAACATATTCCGTACTACATGAAAGCACCCACGAGCCAACTGCACCAGTCGACGGACAACACGGGACTGAAGAACCGTAACTGATCTCTTCAGCAACTTCAACGGGATCTGGTGTTACGTTCGGTCTGACAACCAGATACGAGACTGCATACACCTGTTGACCATCAATTGCTTCCCAGTTATGCTACAGGGAAAATGGGATGAGTCACTGTCCAATATGTAAGGAGAACTGTGGTGTCATTCCCAACACCTAAACACGGATTTTGTATAGGAAATCCCAACACGAAACATTTCCAGATAGTACAAGGCGGTGTCACTTCAGATGTTGATAGCTTGTCTGTGGAACACGCGAATAAGGTGAAGCCAAATGCAGACGTCAGTCTAGATACTTTCGTTGTGGAGGTGCCAGAGATTCTCCGTCACCAAGGCAAATGCGTCTCCTTCAATTTACGTGCCTTCTCGCCTCTATCTTCATCCATTGCACCTCGATAGATCGAGTCAGACTTCCTTCCACGCATGTATAGCTCATGATTGCTAGTGCACAACGCCAAAATGCGCTTATTAATTTTGGATTTCTCCTCTGAAAGTGTAGAATCCCTTGGTAGTCTTGTCTGCTGGTTGGATTATAAACTTCGTGT